CTCTCTCTCTCTCTCTCTCTCTCTCTCTCTCTCTCTCTCTGTGTCTCTCTCTTCTCTTTTACTCCTCAGAAATACTTTCTGGGAAATTGAAAGTAGAAAATCAATTTCTATTTTAGAATGGAAGATATAGTTAAGAACACTATTAAAAAGTAAGGTTAAATGAATGCGAAGCATGATCTGGGGTTGTGCTGCTAATTACAAAACAGGCTGTTTTGAACATAGTTCTTATCTACCCCGTCTCAGTGAAAAAGGTCAACTTTCAATTGCTTCATAGCGGAGTGAAGAAACAATGCATATTGTTATCTGAAAAGGGAATTACATGGATGCACTGGGAGTATGAATAGTTTGCTCATTTGGCTCCCCCAGGGCAGATTTGAACCTAGTCCTCTTACACAATCTTCCCTTCTTGCCCAGGGCACCCATGTGGGGACTTTCTGTCCCCTGTGATCTTCATCACTATCTTCATTCATATGTCCTCCACTGAGTCGTGGGAGTTCCTTATGATTCCCACCAAGGTTCTCCTCTTCTCTTTTCTTGTAATGCTTTTAGTCCTTAATCACATAGACTTTTGTGGGCCACTATTAATTTCTTTTTTACAGGACAGGGACTGAATTCAATGTTCTTTCTGTGCTATCTCAACTCCCAACATAGGTTGAGCTCAAGAAATATTTTTCTGGATTGATAATTTCATTTTAAATCATTTAATTATATTTTATCAACTCTAGTCATAGGGCTCAAAAATGAAGCAAAATAACTTTGAGGTAAACATATACCATTTCTCATTTGGAATTTAAAACAGTATATGCTACCTATTATAGGAACCATTTTCTATAACAGGCACATTATTTATAGGAGTTCATTTACTACCCTACAGTAATCTTTGAGCCCAAAATTATTTTTCATGATTTTTATAGGTAGTGAAATTGAGTCTCAAAAATTTACTCAGGGTCACGTGACTGCTTGGTTGTAAGACCAGGATTTGGGGTTACGATTTGAATCCATGTCTCTCTGGTTACTCAGACTGTACTTCAGGCTAACTTAATTACACAGAGTAAGTAGCTCTTCTCTTATATTTTGGAAAACAGTGTTTTAGGTACTAATAATATTTAATAGAAGTTTAACCTTAAATATTTCACCAAAATATGTAAAGGTAACCATGTGAAATGTAAAGATTAAATCTTTGAACCTCATGAATAACCATTATCAACTTTCAAGAAATTGAGTCTCAGTTTCCCCATTTGTAAAACAGAGGGACAGAGTTAGAGTTAAAGTTACTTTCTACTCTGAGAAATAAGTCAGGCTGATAAACTGACCCTGTGAGAGTGAACTGAACTGCCAAACAGTTGAAACAGACAGATATTTGGCTATATATTTTTCTCTTTTTACCTTATTTACTCATGCTTGGAGCAGTACTGCTCTAGACACAAATTTTTTTTTCACCTTATAAAGTAAAATCTCATACTCATCAACTTTATTTATAAATTCACCAGTAGTTAAGTACTGTCTATATTTCATTGGAATATATGAGCAAAATGCTGTGTCTAAGTTTATGAATCATTTCCTGAATACTTTTGGATTTGGACTAACTTTGCATGTACGAAAATTTTACTGGGAGGTGTGGGGCTCCGTAATTGATATCTTTCACAAAGTTGCTTTTAGGAAGACACTTTTACAAGGTATTCTAGGAAATCTCTCAAAATTTCAAATTGGCTAAAATAACTGGGTAAAATCAGAAAAGTGATGGGAAATGTCCCAATATCTCCTTTAAATGCTTTAGCTAGAAAGTTCCTGACTGAAGACAGGGTTGAATGTGCTTCAGAATTTATTCCTTCAAAGAAGTTTGCCATGGGGAGCTTGCTGAAAGCAAATCTTTTCCCTTGGTAAGAGAAAAAAGAAAAGCCCTTTAGCACAAAAAAGCTAATACTTTCATGTAATCCTCTTGATATGAACTTACCTTAGAAGCCTACCTTGAACTGTCTAAATCATGAATGCTAAGGGACAAGGTGGGTGAAAAACACAGGCAGAGATGGTTCAATTTCTTCTCCACACATTCCCGGAGGAACAGATCCAATGATCAAATAGTGGTTGAAGCAAGAGCATAAAAAAGATTTAAAGTGACTGCACAAATCAATAGCAAACAGCATGAACATTTCTATTTCTTGGATTTTTTTCTTTATATTAAGTCACTATAGGTAAGTGGGTTGTATTGTTTAGAATATATTTAAAATTAAAGTATAATTATATACAGGTAACTGGGCAAGTTTGAAGTACACAGTTTGAAGAGTTTTGACCAATGTGTATGGCTGTGTGATTCATTCATATCTAAGAAGCTTTTTGAAAATGCTTTTCTTTTTTTGCAAATTAGCAAAACCTGAATATTTTAAATTTAGATACAATTTTTATTTAACCTTCCATCAAGACATTACATCTGCTTTATCAGTTTATTATATATACATACATATATATGTTATCAGCTTCTGTAATTGAAATGAAAGGTTTGCTTGCAGATCACATAATCTAAGATTTCAAATTTTGGCAATGATTGTTTTCCCTATATAGTCCATGTCTTGAAATTTGATAGGCTCCATAGTAAACTAGAAAAAACACATAATAGACTTCTGCTTATAGAAAATATAGAGATCAGGAAGGCCGCACTTCCTTTTTTGTAGTTGTTGTTTGTAGAAAGTGATATAGTTTAGCTACTTTATACTTTAGTCTATGGTTTACATTAATTAAAGTGTAATTATTTGCTTTATTAATACTTACATAATTTTTGTATTCCTTTCTTTGATGTGTTGTTTACACCAATCTCAGAAAAAAAATTCTTCAGTGTAACTTATTCTACAAACTTAAAACTGCTTATAAAATTTTGGTGCAAATTAAAAAACATATTAGAGATTCCAGTCTAAGCAGGGAGTTTGATCTGTATTTTCTTAGTTTATCAATGCACATGATGTTTATGTAAATTATTTTTAGGTCATTCAGTCCTGAAGAAAACACTATTTCAACTTGATGTTAGAATAGTCTTATCATGTGTGAGGCGATATTTTGTGGGCTATTTCATATGGAGTATAACTTATGATACATTTATGTATTTTATCTGCATTTATTTTCAATAATTTTCACCTTTCCTTGTTTCCATTGTTTTGATATACAAACACAGAGTCTAAAGAGATGTGAAATAGTCAAAGGAGGTTAGAAAGAAGATAAAGAGAAACGAGGAGTTTTAACAATCCAGTGGTGAATAAAGGAGAGTTGCTGTTTTATAATGAAAGGAAAAGTTCTTTGCAGCACAGAATGGAGTATCCTGCCAGACACCAAAAAGAATTCCCACAATAGCCTTTTTTTCCTCTTTAATAATTATATTTAATTAACAAGATTTTAAAAATATCATTTCTGCTAATTATTAAGCTCTGGCAGTGGGAATCTTTTCAATCAAAATGTGTCCATATACATAAAGTTTCCAATCATACTTTGAGATTTAGCTGTAGAGGAGTAGAACTACATGAATCAGAAACAAAGATTTTCCTGGGGATTTATTCTCTGTATATCAGATGAATCTCCAGCCCAATGTAACTCAATAGCTCACAGTTAGGGTACTTTTGTCAAGGGAAAGGATCATAAGGGTTTTCAAAGCCAAAGTCATGAGATAGTTTTGGTCCACTTCTTAGAGACAGACACATGCACAGGAAATTGCCTCGACTCTTTTGGGCCTTACAGGGAAAAACAGCTA